AACATGACAGGAGTATTCTAGCCAGTGAAACTCATAATTAGACATGGGCACCCCTCCATTAGATATTCTCGGAACACATATTGAAATGGAACTTTTATCTACCATCTCTTACTATGTGTTTATGGAGGGGATTAGTCAGGCAGTGCTCACTGAGAGAGGATCTAATGTCTTACATGTGCACAGTCAGCCTGTAATAAACAATCAATTCTATACAGCAACACCAGATTTATGATGCTAAGTTGTTTTTATAATGTGATAATGATTTCGATTTGTATGTGTTTATTGTTTTTTTTGCCTTAAGTACTTTTAAACTGCAAGGAGAATTTTACAAAAAAAACAAGTTTCCCAAATGAGTTTCCAAAGAATTGTTAAGCTGATATTAAACCACTTCAAATCAGATTGTAAATCCAATACATTGAGTTTGTGAATGTAAACACTTGACCTTTTTCCATGCAGCAGCGACCGCTTTGTGCAGGCCGTAGGGTCGGAGGACCTGCAGACCCTCACAGGTGTTGTACATCTGCCGGCAGACGAAGATAAAGGCTCCACACCATGTTTGGGACATGTCAGAGTCACTCAGGGAGGACAGCTCCTTCTCCAGCAGCATGAGGGTGAACTGCACGATGACATGAGCAGGACAAGTTCTGAAGAGGGGGAACAAACAAAGAGAAATATTCAGATTTTCACATGTGACAGCTTGCACATGTCCGGCAGTGGCTCAGCCAGTAGGGGCTTGGACTGGGAGCTGTAGGGTCACCGGTTCAAGTCCCCGACCAGACCTAAAATATGGAGTGTGGACTCCTACTTGGAGAGGTCCAGTTCGCCTCCTGCCCTGCCATGGTGCCCTTGAGCAAGGGACAGGACACCCCCCTTCCCCCCTCACTCCCATTGCTCCCCGGGCGCTGTACTGGCCACTGCTCCTAGTACTAGACCTCCTGGTACTAGGATGGGTTAAATGCAGAGAACAAATTTCACTGTGTGTGCTCCGCATGTGTGACCACAAAGAGGGTTTCATCCCTCCCAATTCCATTCTATCATAAGGCTCAGAGTTTATGTAACCACACTAAATTAAATAAACCAAAGGTCAAACCAGCACAGAGTTCAAACACTATTTTGTTCAATATCTCTGAGCATTTTATACACATTACATAGACTATATATTCTGTCTTAGGCATGGACTGTATTCATTTCTGTTGTGCATTTATCTCCTGACGTTTCCTATTAAGAACACTTACGGCTTGAATTTGAGAAGGGGCAAAAACAGTGATAGGACTAATAGCACAAGCTATAGTGGGATAGAGAGAGCAGAATAGGATGAAATTGTAGAAAAGACAGAGAGCATTATGTCTAGGTACAGGACATTCTAGCCACAGGATTTGGCAGAGTCACAAGCTTGAAATATTCAATCCAGATGTTTTCTCAAGGGACATGGACTGCTAGTTTAACAGTAAAACAAACACCACTTCTGCCTCACATGGTTAATGTGGACCTCCTTTTCAATGTCTTGTATTGTGCTATCACATGTTGAGAAGCAACACAAAAGAGCTGCTCCTCACAGGCATGGTGATCACATGATTTGGGGTGATCACATGATTTGGAGTGACCAGAAGCCCTGAACAGATCTGGTGAAGCAGAACAAACCATGGATAATGAATGTGTTTAGAATCTGATGATGTAAGCACTGGCAAGAAGTTAAACACCTAAACTAAATCAATAAACATGAGCTATACGTGCACACACAGATCTGCTCTTTTATTCCTCCTTTCTGATAGGATTTGAAAATGTTTTTTAAAAGTGTATCCTTTACCCTCTGGAAATGTTTTAAAGGGTCACTTGGCTGAAAAAGGCTAAAACAAACTCAACCAACCACTGCTGAAAAACACAATGGATCTTAAACTAGGTCACATTTTCAACAGATGGTAGCCTCTCAGAGTTCAACATCTAAATCGCACTTAGTAAACAAGCAAGTTATTAGTTACTTTACCTTGGTGTTTTCTTTATATTGACAAGTGTGTAGTTGCAGCAGGTTATGCGTGTTATTAAATTAGAGCAAAGTACACCTTGGCAAATATATCCTTCCATTTGCACTGTGGTCGGGACGAGGAAATTACAGGGTAGAAATCTTGAATTTGTATCTTCTAATCAAAAGTAAATGAAAAATGCACCATCAAATTACTTCATTAAAGTACTGTGAAGAGCTTTTTTAATCAATTGTTTGCACAGTTCAACACACAACATTAGACTAGGTACATCTTTCTATGTACAAATAATTCTCACTGCATTGCCAGGCTGCGTTCTCTCGGTTTTTACAAAGCAGTCTACAACTTAACAAGGGTGAAAAAAAGGTTATGCAAGCACTGAGGCACAGTGCCAAATTCACACAATACAGGCGTTGTCTCTTCTTTGCTTACATGCAACTAATTAATTGGCCAGAGAAAATGAATGAGAACCACACATATGTCTGCTACTCTCTTTTGTACAAAGTTAGGACAGCTCCATGTTGCGTTCACCCATTTTAAACATAAAATAAATGGTGTGTGTTTCCTTACATTTCTGGTGTATTATGCTCCAATCCTCCAGTCATGCTTATGTAAGTAACCCTGTAGGTGTCGCATGGCTGTCTCATGGCAGTCACGGGGGGGTCATCAGTAAAGTGATCTTTAGACTTTGGTGTCAGAACGTTATTTAAAAAAATGCACTTTAGCTTTTAAATATCCTGACTCAGATGTGCGTCAAGCTTCTCTGAAAACAGCCACACATACCAGCTCCCATGGCATTACATGGTGCAAACATAACTCAAAACACCGACTTAAACATTAGTTGCAGTATAATGGCTGTACGGGGAGCATGCGCACTCACGAGCTGCCCAGGAAATCGTGGAACTTGATTCTGCCGATGGTGGTGTCGGCCTCAAAGTTTGGGAACACGTCTCCGAGCAGAAGTCCGGGCATGGTAGTCTCTTCTTTGCTGCTCCAACACGAGAAAAAGGACGAGAGACAACCTGCCTGCGATTCATGAATGGACCCAGTCCGGATAGGGGCGTGATCAACGCAGATAAACGCAGTGATACGCAGATCCTCGACCAATCAGAGACAGAGACGTAACGATTCCTTTTTTACTTTTTTTTGGAAAATGTTTCCTATTTGAGTGTTGTTTGTCTTTTAATAATGGACCAAGAGTCTCTTTAAATACAGCTGATGAAGATGATCAACATTTACAAACATCAATGAATAAAAAATACAGACAGATCCTATACAAAATAACTTTCATTACATACATCATTATTTAATTGCATAGATAGATAATGAGTACTGTAGGATACAAATAAAATGAAAATAAATTTTGGAGTTTGAGATTTATGAACCAAAAATATGTGTTTGTTTGATTACATACATCATTACTTAATTGCATAGATAATCAGTAGGATACAAATAAAATGAAAATAAATAAAGCATGTAACAACTCTGCTCTCTTCCATAGTTGCTCATCATATATTTTAGTTATTCATATGTTCTGAGAAGAGACTACATGCTTTCTTTCTATTCATAATAGGGCACTGACATGGTGACACACAAGGTTTATGTGGAGATTATTGTTCATTTATTTGGATGTTTGGATTCAAAACGTCACAAATACATTATATTCTCTTGTGAGAGGAGCAAGAAGTGACTGTTGGATGAAAGTCACCTAAAACTGATATTATTTTCTATTTAAGTATCACAACACTTTCAGTTATTGTAAAATGTGATGTACTTGTTTTTAGGGGAATAGAGGAAACAAAGTATTGTAGTTCATAATATCTGATTGTTGAATGATAGTTGAATGATCATATACATGACCCGGTTTCGAGAGCTTCATCATCTGTCACCGACTCCACAACATGCCCTCGCATGATGAATAGAACAAAATAATTGATGGAAAATGCAGCAATGTTCATGGAAACATTCAAAAGATTAATTGTCTTACAGATGGATAGAATTGGAGGGATGAAACCCTCTTTAATGGTCACACATACATGTACACACAGTGAAATTTGACCTCTGCATTTAACCCATCCTAGTAGTAGGAGCTGGGGCGGTGTGGGGGTGTCCGGTGCCCTGCTTAAGGGCACAACGGCAGGGCCCAGCAGGTGAACTGGGTCCTCTCCAAGTAGCAGTGTAGACTACATGTTCGGGGACTTGAACCAGCGACCCTACGGCTCCCAGTCCAAGACCCTACTGGCTGAGCCACTTCCGGACCGAATATTCACGAATGTTACAGACCTAAAAGGGTGCATTGAAGAAATCATCAACATCCCTGGACCATACAAACCTGCTCAGGGATTCCCACCAATTGGTAGCGTTGTCAGCACAACTAAAAATGTGGCTGTCTGGGACAATAATTTGAAAGGGCTGCCACCTAACCTGCTCAGATAAAGACTACGCCCTGCAGTTGTTTAAGAAAGTTGCTGAGCCTTTAAAATGTTAACCCAAAACAGTTTGACCTGTTTTTATTCATTTAAGCTACAACCTCTGGTAGAATAAATGGGGCTTAGGGAAAAGTCAGTATTGAGAGGCGGTTGTAGGTCAGTCTTTTCATTACGTTTTCTGACAGTGTGCAAATCATTAAATAATTCGACCATTAGCTATGCTCTCAAACTTTGATATTCAAATTATTACCAGATCAATAGAGGAGATCTTTCCAAGGCACAATCTAGGAATAAGGGGTGTTTCATTCAGAAACGAAAACTAAACGTCTCCAATGTAATATTGCATTGTATTTATTTCTCTTCAAGGTGTATTCAATGTTCAGTGGTAGCTTAACCGGTTGTGTGCACATTCCTAAAAAACGACTCCAAAACAAGTTGCCTACACTTCTACCAAGAACTTCATAATTATATATAGCCTAAGGCTGATATTATTTACATTTCCCCCCTTTATTTGTATTTTTCCCATTTTAGGGTTTGTGAGCTGAGCTAATGGTGTATTTTTCTTGACAAAAAGGGGGAACCACACAGGAAAACACAATTTCCCAGGTGTCTTTGCGATTACAACATCAAAGATGGCGATTTGGCTCAGAGTAATAGGACGTGCTTTGAATGTTGAGCCGCACAACAGATGACCTAAAGGAGCGAAAACCCCGCATAGCACTGCAGACAATTTACCACAGAGGGCCAGCAACACCCCACCTTACTGTACATCGGTTTTAAAACAGATAAAATGCCTTCACCTAAATCTAAAAACCCGGTTCGCGGCGGCGGAAGCCCGGTGCTCGGCAGCTCCAACGGCCGCTACGACTTCATGTCTCTGACGAAGCCGCTGAACCGGTCCTCGCCGCCGCACCAGAGACAGGGCTCCGACCCCGCCACCGCCCGCCTCAGAGCCTCGGAGAGCCCCACTCGGCGCCGGGGCTCCAGCTCCTCCACCGGCAGCGGACAGGGGCTGCCAGAGGAGGACGGCTTGCGGCTGAACCCCTCTTTCATCCGCGTAGCGCTCAGCTCCCTGCTCGCCATCGACCTGTGGATGTCCAAGACGATGGGGGTGTGTGCCTGCGAGGACTCGTCTTGGGGCAGTGTGCGCCCCTTAATGAAGCTCATAGAGATATCCGGACATGGCATCCCCTGGCTGGCCGGTACCGCCTACTGTCTGTACAAGAGTGACAGTGCAACAGGACAAGAAGTCATGCTCAACCTTTTCATGGGTAAAACACTTTTTGTATTCATGTGCCTTGATTGTCAATCTGTGTCTCTCAGTAGGGGATTAACGCACAGAAATATCCAGGTTTCTAGGTACCACTGAGATAGGTTGACGTGCAGTTCTTGACACACACACACACACACACACACACACACACACACACACACACACACACACACACACACACAGCTCCTCCCTTCTTTCTTCCTGTCGTTTATGAAACACCTCCCATGACTATTTTTAATAATATTGTCTGAATAATTGTCTGACCTAGTTTACCTTTTTACAGGTTCTCACATGTAGCATAGATCTGCTGTTTACTATGGTCTCAACCTACCTCTTTTTGCAGCTCTCCTGAGGCTCTTTGACTGACACTTTGAAAACCACAGGATGGTAATTAATAAACTCGGGGATTAGGTCAGTTTCAAGATTTTTAGAAAAGCTATCTTTAGACAAAAGTGTGTGTGTGTGAGCTACAATGCATGTCCGTCAGAATTAAAACCCCTAACACAAGTCTTAACCAGCACAACATTCTTTATTTACAAAGTGTTTTGCTGGTTTGTCATGAGGCATAGTGTGCTGAAGAGGAGTTATAATTTAAGGGACGTTTAATGACTTGTATTGAAGCTCATGTTGGTATGCATGCAGACTGTGTAGATTGATTTATCAACGGTGATGCAGCTTTTACTTGGATTGCATCACTTAACTGCCAGTACAAATCACTGGGAATTAAACACAGGACTTCCTCATTTGAATTTATTTCACTATAACGAGTGCATCCACTTTGTATATCAAGATGTTCCCATTGTTCTTGGAAGATACTCTTTGTCTCCCTCCTTGTGTTCAGATGTCTGGTTGTTTTTTGTAGTAACACGAACCCACAGTAACAATGAACTGGATATTAATTTGTGTATTGTGCAGGGGAATGCATGTTGTTTATGCTGGTGTTGGATTACTAATGACTGCTTCAGTTATTATGAGGCAGGAAGAGGCAACTCTGAAACTCCTTATCATCTGTCATGCACAAATTGTTCTCACGGTGATCCCATCTCCAACGTGTCACTTTGGTATTTGTTATTTTTCTCCCTCGAGTTATCTCGCCCATCAGAGCCTGCAGACTCCCACCTGTAGATGAGTTGTTCACTTTGACTTTAATCCACCTTTGCTGCTCCTCCTCCTTAATAACTACTTGTTGCATCATATTTTTGTTTGGCTTTATATAAACTTTATGAATGATCTTAATGTTTTTTATAAAACAGAAATCTCATAGGTTTTTCTGATTTTCTTTATTTTATGTAGCTTTAATTTATCAAAACGATTAATTTGAAAATATAACTTTGAGCTCTAGTGAATTGTGATACATTTAAAAAAAAAATTCTGACCTATTTAGTGATTCGTACTGTTGACAGATAGTCAGAAGTGTGCTGTTAGGGACTGAAATATTGACAGTCTTTTGTTGCGTCTATTATGAAATCTTGAAAAGCTTTATGTTAAAAGGATTTAAATGTCATGTTTGCCCATGTGGTATATGAGCTGTTCTGGAGGGGATTTGCCTCACTGTTTCAAGGAGATACAGCTGCTGTAGGGAGGAGTGGTTTAAGGGTACATTTAATGTTAATAGTACTGGATATGTAATTTCTTTTGCTTACAAGCATCCTTCAGTTGTCATATCATTTACCAGCCAACCTCCTGAATGCATAATCTTAGTAACTAAAAACCTTTGATTCGTTGTAACTGCATTAAGATAGACCAGTCTGAACCAGAAGGCCGTTTTAACAGCTATTAATTGGCAATTAATAGCTGTTAAAACGGCCTTCTGGTTCAGACTGGTCTATCTTAATGCAGTTACAACGAATCAAAGGTTTTTAGTTACTAAGATTATGCATTCANCTTTAAGACCCCTCAAAGCGCTTTACATACTACATGTCATTCACCCATTCATACAGAGCAGTGTACCTTACTCTAGGACCTAACATTCACACACATTCACACACCGTTGGCCACGCCATCGGGAGCAACTCAGGGTTAAGTATCTTGCCCAAGGATACATCGACATGTTGACTGCATGGGCTGGGATCGAACCCACAACCTTCTGGTTGAAAGACGACCGCACTAACTCACAGCCACAGTCGCCCTGGTCGGCTGGTAAATGATATGACAACTGAAGGATGCTTGTAAGCAAAATAAATTACATATCCAGTACTATTAACATTAAATGTACCCTTAAACCACT